GTCATGTTTTTATTGAACATTCAAGTAAGTGGAGGAATTCTCGTCTTTGGCATTTCATTGAATTTTCTGAGTGTTTTGGGGACACTGTCCTCAAAATTACTAGTTAATTGTCCAAAGAATTTCAAGGGATCTTGTCAGTGAAGATTCATTATTCAATGGAAACTCGTGAATTTCTTCTGTTAATAAGGTATTGGCGGGATACGTGGAGAGATAGGTTGGGAGCGGCCGTAGCGGCCTAGATATGAAAGATTTTAGTTTTAACAGAAGCGTTTTACCTGGTTTGGTGGCATTTTATCAATGGAATGCGTGGCGAAATATTTTCAGCTACACTGTTAACGATTTTTCGTTGGAAGTTTCAGTGTACGTATTGGAAATATTTAGCGAGTTACGGTCTCACTGAAATTTTACGGAAATACGTAATTGAGAAATCACACTGAGAGAAATTTCAATGGTAATTTTAACAACAAGGGAAATGTCAAAGAAATTATATTTACTGAAACAATAAACTTTATAGATTGAACTAGGATTCATCGTTCGATTCACTATGTCAAATAGTGTCATTCACATTATGAGGTAATTTTCACTCTAATGTAATAGTTGAAAATGCAATGGTCATTGTTACCGTAACTATTATTTTTTTGAGAATTTCCTTGTAGTTGAAATTACTACTGATTATCTTTGGTAATGGGATCTAACCTTCCCTGGGCCAATCAGAGTTCAGTATTCAATAACATGAAGTACTTCCCAATTAAAATTACAACGGTTATGTCCCCCTAGCTTTTGATAATTTCCCTGTAGCTTTTGATAATTTCCCTCTAGCTCTGCAATTGTTTTTCTAACCAAATAACTGTCAAATATTATCCTGTGGAGTGAAAGAAAGGCATGAAGAAAGTGAAAATGAGTCGGTTTCGGAAGGATCCGATTACCAAAAATAATCCGTCGAATACCACTTGACCTCCAAAATTAATCGAACATTCTCCTCATGTTTTCCTGCGTATCAACGATCGCGATAAGTTTTGCACAAAAATCCCTTGCGCTACGCGCTCAGGATTTTAATCTGCAAAATTTCTCTCTCTCGTTGTTACGTAACAAAACAATCGGGAAATATCCGATAATTTTGGTCTCGATACCGTCACTTAAATTTTCTGAGTCGATTCCGTAATCGGCGAGCGAATTGTAAGTTCCGTAATTTTTACTCAATATTTCTCTCCGTGTGTATAATCGATCTTCAGTGTATGAGAAATCACCTCGGAAATCGCATTCCAATAGCCCGCAACTTTTAAAAACCCATAGTAATCTCCTCTTAATGTTTAATCATCTTTTCTTTAGTGTTACTGACCCGTGGAATTGTTAATGAATTAGAATTTATTTTTAAGGTTGCATAAATCGCACAAAAAATAGTTATAGCGGCCCATAAAAAGCAACCAAATTAAAATGTTATAGGCACATAAAGGGTCGAAATTTTATGAGATAAATTGGGCGCCAATTCTTCTACATGTGCCTGATACCTCCAAAGTAAAGAATAAAAGAGGAAAATAGTTCCAAAACACTCACAAGGGAACGAATCCCTTGATCGTCTGATTCATTTCATCAGATGAATAGAAAGGGTGAAAAATAAATGGCTCGAACATCCTGACTCAGAGGTATTTTCTCTGTAGTTATTTTTCGCTCCTATTCTTCACTGAAATAAGGGCAAACCACTGAGTGATAAAGAGACAAAGCGGCCTTTTATCGTCTTCGTGGGCTTGTGAATGGGAGAGGGAGGAGAGCGGAGCGTCTCCAAGATCCATTGAAAATTTAGAGAACGACGCCTAGCTCAGGTTGGCAGTAATGCCACTCGTAAGACGAGGGCAATTAGGGGATGAAAGGGGGAGTTTTCGGGGAGGAGGGCTTTGCCTACGGAATTGTTCAGCTTTTGGTTTATGGGTACTGAGAAAAATAAACCTCATTCGGGAGGTGAGCCTCATTTATGCTGAGATCTATGGCGAATTGATCAAATACATACGTGTTATTTGTTTCGTTAAGGACATTATTTTTGTGACACTTCCCACCTGCTAATTCGGCCCAATTACTTCGACGCAACGATTCTGGGGAATTATATTCATTTCTTTACGACTCACAGCACCTCGACTTATCAATTTTTGTATTTTTTTTTTATTCTTCCTTGGAACAATGCGAAGAATCAGTTGTTCCAGTAACGAGGGTGGGCACATTACAGTTCTACTGGAATTAGAAGGAACAGGGTTGAGTGAATGCAGATATTTCCAAAATATCTCCTTATTTCAGGTTTTCTTGATTTTTCTGCATGCGGAAAAATTTATATTTTGAAAAATATGTTAAATTGGCCCAATTTATATAAAAAATATATATATGGTTTATTTGAATTTCTTTATATATTCTTTATAAATTTAAAAAATATATGGAATTGGCCCATATTATAGATTTTTTCAAATATATTTTTTGATGGGGGTCAAGAATATTAATTTTCTATTGTCTGAAATCTATTACGAATTGATCGAATACTTGTCTGATTTTCTTCGCTTAAGAATCATTTTCGTGATATCAGATCATTAGTTTCTCTCACTGTCTTTGAAATCTTCCGAGTCGCTAATTCACCCCAATTATTTCGTTTCAACAATTCTGTTGAATCATATTCATTTCTTTACGACTCACAGAACCTCGACTTATCAATTTTCCTATTATTTTTTTTATTCTAGTAGAAACAATACGAAGAATTAATTGATCTAAGGAGCTAAGGAGGGTGGTCACATTATAGTTCTACTGGAATTAGAAGGGATTTCTTCATTTTAAAGTAGCTCTACCCGTCGGTCGGGCTACGCTGTGCTTTTGGATATTTTCAGTTTTTAAAGTTTCCAACTAAATTGCATGGAAAAAAATTGAAAAAATTTATACTCAGTCAGTATTATCTAAATTAAATTTCGCAAAATATTGATATTTTTTCAAACATTTCCCTCTCATAAATAAATAATAAAATTTGTTTGCAAAACGGTGGATTATTTTTGCTGTGTCAAAAAAATTCTTGATCTTTTCACATCTAATGAAAAAAAATGCAGATTTTAATCTTTGATTACAATGGAAATGTTGATTTTCACATAAGACACTGGGTTAAATCCTGATTTTTAAACATTTCTTCTTTGAAAAACCAAAACGATAATTAAATTGAGAAAAAAATTAGAATTCCGAATCTAATCGAGTTTTCTGCAATTTTTTTGCGGTTCTCAATAATCTTTGAATTTACCGTAAAAGTACTACTTTAAATTCAAAGTTTCATGGAAAAATCAATGGAAACTGTAAATTTCAGTGCAATTATTCCATAAAAATTAGTGGAAATCAGAAAAATTCAGGGTAATTTGCTCTGAATAGTCAAATTATCGGTAAGAATGGAAGGAAGTTGAGGAATTTGTCGTCTTCTTGCTGCAGAAAAATTTGGAATTTTGTTGAATTTCCATTGAAACCTGAAATGTCATGATTTTTCCCCTCTAAATCAAATTCAATTCCATTCTTCTGAAAACTACTAGTCAATTGTCTTTGAAATTTCGATTGTTTTCCAACAGTGTTGAGTAAATGCAGACATTTCCGAAATATCTCCATATTTCAGATTTTCCTGGTTTTTTCAAGAATATTATCTCATTTCGAGAAAAATATCAATTTTCTATTCCTTGTCTGAAATCTATTACGAATTGATCCAATACTTGTGTGATTTTCTTCGCTTACGGAACCATTTTCGTGATATCAGATCATTGGCTTCTCTCACTGTCTCTGACATCTTCCGAGTCACCAATTCACCCCAATTATTGCGATTCAACAATTCTGTTGAATTATATTCATTTCTTTACGAGTCACAGAACCCCGACTTATCAATTTTCTTATTATTTTTATTTCATTCTACCTGGAACAATACGAAGAATCAGTTGTCCCAGTAACGAGGGTGGGCACATGGTAGTTCTACTGGACTTGGAAAAATCAATGGAAACTGTAAATTTCAGCAGAATTATTCCATAAAAATTTGTAGAAATCAGAAAAATTCAGGGTAATTTGCTACAGAATATTCCGGTCTCCGGTGAAAATTGAAGGAAGTTGGGGAATTCTCGGCTTCCTGCTGCAGAAAAATTAAGGATTTTGTTGAATTTCTATTGAAATCTGAAATTTCATGATTTTCCCCTCTAAATCGAATTAAATTTCACTGTCCTGATAACTACCAGTCAATTGTCTGTGAAATTTCAATTATTTTCTAACAGTGTTGAAAGCAGACATTGCCGAAATATCTCCTTATTTCAGATTTTCTTGGTTCTTTCAAGAATATCATCTTATTTCGAGAACAACACTGTTAAAAAAATTTGTCTGAAATTTCTGGTGCACTTTTTGGAAATTTTTATTGAATTTAATTACCACTGAAATTCCAAGGAATTTCGTGGAAAAATAAAAGAGAACTGTCAATTTCAGTTCCATTTTTCCCTGAAAATCAATAGAAAACCAGGAAATTCCGGTAAATAATATTCTTGAATTTTGGGGACAATGACACCAAATGCGATTTGGGGGAAAAAATAAGGAAATTTCAGATTTCACTGAAACTTCAATGTAATTGGACACTGAATATTCATATTAGATTGAAAATTCAAATAAATTAAGGAATTCTCGCCTTTGTGCTGCATAAAATTCTGGAATTTTACTGAAATTTCAGTGCAACCTGAAATTTCTCAATTTGTCCTTCTAAACCGAATTTAATTCCATCTCCTAAAAATTACTAGTCAACTGTCTATGAAATTTCACGATTTTCGAGGTAGTTTTCATTCGACCTTTCCCTCCGTGTGTGACTTCCTCGCTAATAATATCAGATGATTGTTCGCTCTCACCGTATCTCTGAAATCCTCCGAGCCACTAAATTCATCCCAATTATTTCGATTCAACAATTCTGTTGAATTACATTCATTCCTTCATGATTCATCAATTTTCTCATTATTATTTTTTGTTAATCCTACCTGGAACAATACGAAGAATCGGTTGACCCGGTAACGAGGGTGGATGCTCATCCTCAGGTGATCTCTCCGACGCATATCCCTGATCCTGCGGCTCCCCACCAAGTCTACTCGTTTTGATATCAGTTAACCGATCAAACTGACGATGCTTCATCAATTCGCACTCCGGTTTGTGCACAACTTTCATCAATAACTCTCCATCGGGATTGTTACTCTGCTGTTGAAATGCCTGAATTCTAGACGGATCACACCACTTTGGATCGATTCGCCTCTTTGGTAATGTACCAACGAGATCTAGATGATTGTTGTGGTACTTGTCATCATACACACGTGAGTACCTAACAGCCGAGTCTACGGTGTCTACGCTCTGATTTTTTCGCACCAGGTCGAAGTTACCGTGTTTGCAACGGACGAGATCCAGGTCGCTGTCCTGTTGATACCTGAAGTCATAATTATTATTCGATTACAGCAACTTCAAGTGATAGAAGGCGCTTTCAAACACTTCATACGAGTATTTTCACAGATATACGTGATGTTTTTACACTAAGGGAAAAATCGACGTAATATTACGAAAATCATTTCTTGAGCGAAAAACATCGCATACATATTTGATCAATTTACGGTAGGTTTCAGACAAGAAATCGGTGCTTTTCGGGCTAAGGAGGAAGTTATTGAATGAAAAGGTGATGTCTTTTTTCGAAATGACATAATATTTCTTAAAAAACAGAAATAGACAGAATAGTTTGACAGAAGGAAAACAAGATATTGATTCCCTTCGAACTCAAAGTGATTGAGCGTAAGAGACGGTTATATTTTTTTAATATCTGGAGGTTGTCCTCTGATAACATTCAACTGAGGTGAAAATCTGACAAAATTAGGTAAAATGAAATTTTATTCAAGTTAATAAAATAAAATAAACAATGAATTATAGACGATAGAAGGACATTATGTGCAAAATAACCAGTCGGAAGCATATTGTAAATTTATTAGCAAAAATATGTTGAGTATGTCGTGACGAAAGCAATTTCTCAAGTTTTTTCTCTTTGTTAAATACAGTGTTACACTTCAGCAAAAAACTACTTGACTGTTAATGAAATTTCAAGGAATTTCGTCATTGAAAACTGAAAATTCAATAAAAAAAAAAATGGAAACTGTGCAACGAAATAATCTAAGAAACGTGAAATGATCAATTCTTTTTGGACTATATAAATCATCACATAAATCGCATAAATCACATCTATTATGATGGTGTTTCATATCGTGATTCACTGCAACCCATGTTTTTACGGGTCTCACTCACCTCCACGGATTTCCCTCCAATGAATCTTGCGAGCGATATCTCACAAGATCCAGAGCCTGCACTGGACTATCCGAGAAATGCACTCCGTGAATTCTCTTCTTGTGCGGCAGTGTTCCCCCCAAATTACCGCTCATCGTGTCTGATATCACGTTATTGTTGTCTATCGGATCGTCCTCCAGGGACTCTTGGTCATCGAGATTGTTCGGCAGAGATCCCGAGATTTTGTACCTTGAGAGGGAATCAATGATCATTACTCCAACCCCTCGGTTTTATTGTAAGATAAAATATTGGCTCTTCTGATTAAAACTGAACTGTCCCGAATTTTTCATCTTAACTATCCCATGTGAATAGTCTCATTAAATCAATATAGATCTCTAATCATATAATTGCGACTCATAATAGGCTATACAAATTTAAATACTCCATAAGTCAAAGAAATGTTCATATCAAAAACAAATGAAACAATAGTAGATTATGTGATGTATGAGTCGTGCTGCAAATTGCACACGACTCACAATCCGAGGCTATTGGCAGAATGACATAATCTATTTTTTATCACGAAGTCTCGTCAAGGGGAGGGGATGGGGGCGCAGAAGTGGGGTCCAGGGGCCAAGCCCCCAGTGGTGGGAATGAGGTGGGCTTCGCCCCCCCCCCCCCCCC